CAAATCAGCTTGCATGATAATTAAATGGGTACCTGGACACTCAAAAATTCAGGGTAACCTAGAAGCTGACTCGGCCGCCCGGTCTGGCCTACGAAAGCTGCCTAGCTCTGAAATACGGCCAGAATCCATAACTCTGGCATTTCTGCATGGCCAAATGAATCATTTGCGGCAAGCATTGCTCGACGAATGGTGGAACGAAGCTTGCCCGCCCCGATATCGTAAGCTCGACCTGCTCATGCGACGACGAAAACCACCTGAGCTGGGACTTTCGAGGTTCCTACTCCGAAATCTGATTGCAGCTCGTAAGGGCCATGGCATTTTCACGGCGTATCATCGCCGTTTCAACAATATGGACGCTCTCATGGAGTGCACCTGCGGGAAGGAGACCACTCCAACCCATTTCATTCACTGTCGACTACATTCATACGTCACGCGTCGACTCAGAGGGAGATTGTCACATAGTGACTTCATCCAAAAGCTTCTCGGGCCAAAGTGTCCCGAAATTTTCAAAAACTTTGTTAAGGAAACCTGCTGTTTTGGGTTGCCATCCACAAATTCGTCCTCTGATCTCATCGAGGACCATATAAATTAGTCATATAGATGATATGACAGGAAGGAGTACAAGGCGAGAAGATTTGTTTTCTGACCAGAAATTGGGAAATCTGCAGGGCTTGATAGTTTTGTGGGTAGGAGTTTGGTTTCAAAGGTTGAATTTATGTACCATTGCGAATTTTAAACTATCTATTTATTGTTTAGTGGTTCATGCGGTGGGATCAAGTTGGGCTTATTAGAGATAAGATCTTGGCTGTGAAAATCGGTCCTTGACTCTTCGAGGATAACGGATTAGACCTAGGACCTAAATGAATAAAAAAACAAACAGTGCTTTAAAGCCCCATGTCCTCCAGCTTGCTGGAATTGCGGATCTAATATGCACTCAGAATCAGAGTGCAAGGCCCTCACCCGGTGTCGAAACTGTGGGGGACCTCACCGTTCGGATTTCCGGGCCTGCTTAGCCAGACCCAGCAAGTCCGGACCGGTGACAAAAGAGCAGCTCGCGCGGATCCGCCAGATCCAGCAAGGGGAGTTCGCGAAAGTGGCTCGATTTAGGGCTGCAGCCAAAAGGGCCGAAGAGGCAACGATGGCCTCAACGAAGGATGTCTCGATGGCCGAGGGATCGGGTTTCGGAATCCTGGAATCCGAAGAAGAAGTTTGAGGGTACAGCAACCCTCGGTGAAGTCTACAGATAGCTTCAAAATATATGGCAGGATACCAGCTGAATTCAGGGTATCTGCGAACTAGTCTTTCGCTCTCAGCGGAGATTAGAAAAAGTCACCTGGAAGATGTGGCAGGAAAGGGAACGGGCAAGAAGCGCGGGATCTGGACCAAACAGTATTTCTTCCAAATTTGATTTCAGTTTTTGATTTATGTTTTTGATTTTAGTTTTGCTGTTAACTTCTACAATTTCAGTAGAAGTTCATGCGGTTGGAATGAGTTGAGCCTGTACGCAGTGATCCTTGCCGGCTCCACCGGTCCTTGACCCAATGTGGAAAAGATAGCGTTAGCTTAGGACCAAATGTAATAAAAAAAAAAAAAAGCCCTATGTCAGTTAGCTCAGCCTATGAAGGGCTACCCGACGCACCGGCATTCCCATAACAAAACCCCGACAAAGACCCCACTACTCCCGGTCCGCATGGTCGCCAGATTGGTGAGACTCTTCTTAAATTGATATGAATTATATAATTAAAAACGGAAATTAAACTACATGTAGATGTTCGTATTTAGACAGCGTTGGTGTCTAAGTAATCAGGGTTGTCCTACAAATGTAGATGCAAACAGAGCTTCCCCCATTAATGGTCACTTTGAAACTCTTCGAAAAAATTGAGTTGACATAAGCCAGTCTCGGAACAAGACGGCTCTTCTGTGAGCTTAAAATCCAGCGAGCGTCTGGGGGACGGGGGCGATTGGCTCCACGAAGCCGTGCCTGTAGTAGACCATGTTGACAGGTCATGAATTGCTCTGGCGATTTATCATGTCCACAGGAGTATGTTAAAGTTGCGCTGTTGTGTGCAAAACGACGGTGGTATGCTGCAAGTCTTATAAATATATATACATCGTGAATCGCGCATCAGACGCGTGATAGCACGTGACTATACGGTACCGCAACCCACTCCTTCCCTTGACAGATATCACTACACCATGGTTTTGTAGTTCTTGCGATAGATATATGATTCGGGTGTACACATAATTTGTGGGACTTAGCTGCTAATAATCATAGATAGGTTGGTTTGTTCATTAACGTGATAGATAAAGTGACTCCCGTCGCACTACTACTGGAGCTTAAGCACGGGTGGGGCCGGGCTGTATCAGGGTAACTACCATTAAGTACATCTACCTTGTCCCACCTGAACGACCGGACCACCTCAGACTTCACCCATTTGTTGAATCATGTCAAGCCCAACCGTCCAGAGAACCCTCTTTTGACGCGCCGAAGCGCAAATTCCTCCTCAGCCTCGGCCACTACGCGTCCGAGCCCTTGACACCTTCGCGATCTGTAACTTTTTCCTTCCATTCAGTCTTAGCTTTGGCTCCTCTCATCCTGGGGTCGTTCTCTTCATTGAAGGCCCCATCCAGTCGCCCACCAAGGCCTCCTCAGTTTGTATTCTCTTTTGTTCCTTCATGCAGCATCCCTCTATCCCTCGGCCGATCTCGTCATCCCAGAAACTTTGTAGAATGTCCACCCCTCCGGCCTTGCCCCGTCGCTGCCGTACCCCTAACCGTGGAGGTTGTTGGAAATGAAGTATAATATTATTATTAATGATTACCTTCATTACGTAACAAGTTCCCAACGCAATCCCTATATTCACTATCTACATACTAGTTTGGTTTCCTCAGTAAGAGTTATATGGATGTGTACTAGCGTGGCTCCACTTCTATGACGAGAGCACATAGCGTAAGTTATTGCTTCTTGTATTTTTGAGGATTTTTCGACCTGTATACTTAACTTCTATCTTTTTTGATGCTTGCGATTAACATTTGATCATATATAACCAAGTAATCAGTTCACACTTCTCTGCTTTGTCATAAGTGATCCTCCTCCATCAACAGAGGTCGAAAATGCGACTGAGTGCTCAAGACCGAGGCACCGGTGCCCCAGCTTTTTTCGAATGCTCTACTTGATGTTCTGGCGAAATGTCGTACTTATTTCGTCGTTGGCGATTCGTCGCAGGTCGAGTTGTTGGTGGCCCTGGCCGAGGTGAGGACGTATCTAAGGCCGGTATTTCGACCGTACCTTCACAGCGACTGGCAATTGCGTAGGGTCAGACATCCTCTTGCTTCTTTATTGGCGATTTGGCTTTTGGAGGTATGGGATTGCTTAGGTAGGTAGTGAGATGATTGTTGAGAGGGTCGCGAGATGAGTATGGCTGGGAGTGATTTTCCAGAGAAATAGAAAATAAGATCTTGAAGGTGTCGGTTTTTGTAATACGAAGATTAGACAGATTATAGGCTGTCTGCGGTTCGTATCTGGGGTGTAGGTGGTTGATTTCGTTGAGTTGTGCAGTCATGAAATCTCTTCAAGTCGGATTTTCGACCAAAAATGAGCCAACACTACTCCTCCCGATTGCCAACTCGACGAAAACTCTCAAAGTCACCCTTTGTCGTGACTGAATCTCGGCTCTGGGAGAATATTTCACTTCCAGGTTCGCAGAGGATACCACTGATTGGTATTCAGCCTTCGTCCTCCTAATCACAGATAGGCTCCTGGGCCGTGTAGATTTCGCAACGATTGGAGGAATGATCTTGATTGTGCGAGCATAGTTTGAGTTACTTGTTATGTATGAATTGGAGCAAAGCTTCCTATCTTTGGTCCCTAGACTGTCACTATCGGGAACCTGGAGTTTGGTATTGCAATCTAATGTCTTCTCTATTTCTATCCTACCATTTTCTACATGAGTATCATATTGTGATTCACTTTTGCCCAGTCCTGGCTCTAAGCACAGACCATTCATCCAACACTTATCAAAATCAGATGACACAACATAACCTCAGAGTGCACCCTAACCGAGCGATGGGAAGATCAAGGCAGTCATTCTATCAACCAGCAGTCGCTTACTAATAATAATAATCCAACGTAGGCATAGCAAATAGAGCAAAATCATGCAGTCCCGTGACCGTCCTAACTTGAGCTATGCACTATGGTTATGTGGATCTAGGCATAACTGTAGTGAATTTGGGATAAAATACTGGTTGTCTCCGGTGTGGTTTTAATAGCCAAGGCACCTACTCGACTTGGGTAGGAGACGCTAAAGACCATAATTCGCGCGGAGAAAAGATAATGGATGATGGATGCATTCCTGGATATCTCACGGTTTTTGAGACGTCTCCATGCATTGGTAGTTAGCGATAAGGGTTGACTTGGGGTGAAAAAAAAGTCGCCACAACTTAGCAGTGATACTTGCGAATGAAACCCGAGGCTTGACTACTTTTATTTTATATTGAGTTATCTGTTATATACTTCTCTGATATTGCGCCATAGTTAGATAGCTGCATACGCTATTAAAATCTGATGTAAAAAAAAGAGCAAATACTAGGCACAATGTAAACTTAGCTAATATTAGTATGCGGCTCGCCTCAAAAGAAGTGGAGCCTAGTGAGACTGATTCCGGGAAAAGGGTTTAGACATTAAATTTATTGGTAAATTTTGATAGAAAATGCTTTTTAAGATCTCTGTACGTTCTTATCTGAGAAACACCCACCATTTTATGCATGTAATTGTACAGCGAATATCTTTAAATCGTACAAAGGTCCATACATATCGAAATATATTGCTCTAGGTCCAAACTTCTCCACAAAATTTGTACCTTTACTTGGCACATCTACTCGGACGTTTAAGTAAAGATTCAATCCAAAGTAGACCTCACTAACGCATTTCGACTTTTCTGATGCTCCTAGTACTTTGGCTTTTTTAATAAACACTCATAATTTATTATCTCAATTTCCACTCATACTATGAAGCCACTCGGGGAAGACGTAGGGAGTTTTCCAAAATCAAAATCTGAAAGTACTTCCTTCAGCTTTTGCCTTGTCTCACTGTAGATTGTCGAGACGGCTGCCTCTGACAAAGGCTTTCTTCGTTTACTTCGAGATTCCTCTTCAATAGCCATAAATTTCTGAGAGAAAGTTTTAAATATTCGTTGATGTTCTACTAAATATTCCACAATTGGCCTTCCACTCTGCGATTCCAGGCCAACTATCGTCAAGAAATTCCAAGTCTTTTTTTTACTCAATTTGAATACATGTAGGTGACCCATGTACCAAGCCAATGCGCAGGAATTTTTTTCCATGAGTTCTTTTCCAAAGAAATGGTTGGATAATATTACGCTGCTCAATTCCATCGGCCTGTCAGCGTTTACCGGTATTAAATTTTGCGTCTCGTAAGGAGCAAAAGCCCAGTGAGTACCGCTGACTGAAAGCATACGACGAAATGCCAATTTAGCTAATTGAAAGGCCGAACATTCTTTCAAGTGTATAAGATGTTGTAAAGACAAAGCTGACGTTATACGTCGCTCATTTCTAAATTTTCGAATGCTTCCGAGACAATTCATTTCTGGTGAGCCAATTGAGCCAAAATTACGATGGAAGTCGTTTGTAATCTCATATAGACCATGAGAGAGTATTCTCGTCAGTCGGATATTTCCGAGCGTTTTGGAGCAGTATGCCTTGACATACGTGCCAGGCCCTCCAATTCTGCTGTTTGTAGACAAGATGTCGTGTTCTGGGCCGATAAATGGAAACTGGCCGCTTATTTTGGGCTCGAAGACTGAGTAAATAGCGTCATGATTATCTGCACCCACAAGGGCTAAACGCTCGGTTTCTTTGTGCATACTGATCGTCGGGATGAGTAGAAAAGCGAAAACGCAATGCATTCTGGCAAAGCTTTATAAAAGAACTTTGCTTCTCTTATGGTGCGTTGTAAATTTGTCGGCGCAATGAAGGCTGGTGAGAATTCCGTTTGCTACTGTAGCTTTGGCGATACTATCTCAAGTTCTCATTCAAGCAATAAGATAATATGGTTGTCTATTCCAGGTGACCGTAAATACTGAATACAGGGGCAAGAGAACGAAATATGAAATCCAGGTTGCACATTATCTAGAGAAATCTTTCATGTGCAGGATCGCTTTACTATCCTCATTTGATCAACGATTCACGAGTCGTACATGAAGAAATCTCGTTAGGCGGCTCCTGTGCGGCCACTGAGCCATTATTTCCCTGAAGCAAGGGTAAATAATACTGTCAAAGGACCGTGGATCCAGGGAATAGCGGAAGAGATGCAAAGAATGAAATTGATGGCCGTACAGGAGCCGCCTAACGAGATTTCTTCATGTACGACTCGTGAATCGTTGATCAAATGAGGATAGTAAAGCGATCCTGCACATGAAAGATTTCTCTAGATAATGTGCAACCTGGATTTCATATTTCGTTCTCTTGCCCCTGTATTCAGTATTTACGGTCACCTGGAATAGACAACCATATTATCTTATTGCTTGGATGAGAACTTGAGATAGTATCGCCAAAGCTACAGTAGCAAACGGAATTCTCACCAGCCTTCATTGCGCCGACAAATTTACAACGCACCATAAGAGAAGCAAAGTTCTTTTATAAAGCTTTGCCAGAATGCATTGTGTTTTCGCTTTTCTACTCATCCCGACGATCAGTATGCACAAAGAAACCGAGCGTTTAGCCCTTGTGGGTGCAGATAATCATGACGCTATTTACTCAGTCTTCGAGCCCAAAATAAGCGGCCAGTTTCCATTTATCGGCCCAGAACACGACATCTTGTCTACAAACAGCAGAATTGGAGGGCCTGGCACGTATGTCAAGGCATACTGCTCCAACTCACTGGGAATAATTAAAATCATCGAGTTGCTTTCCAATGATCTACTTGAAATTACATACGACTTTTATCGCGATTTTGGTATCAAAGAACGTCGGATAGAAGATTGTCTTAAGTGCATCAGAAACTTTAGGAATGAGCGACGTATAACTTCAGCTTTATCTTTGATTGATCTTATGAAGGAGGAATACTGCTCAGCCTCTTTGTTAGCCAAGTTAGCGTTCAGCCGCTACCTAGATGTATCTGGAAAATATAGGAGTTTTGCTCCCAGTGATTTATATGGACCAATAGAGGTGGTTGCCGATATGCCGATTAAATTGAGTAGCGTAATGTCATCGCGATTCATTTTTGGAGAGATGCTCGGGGGTCAACAGCCGAAGGCATTAGCTTGGTACATGGGACATCTACATATCTTTGCAAGGACTCAAAGAATGGAATGGACACCCCTGACGACTGTTGGTGCCGAATCGAAAAACGGGAGGCCAATTGTGGATTACTTATATTCGCATCTTAATCATTTCAAAATATTTAGAGCGAGTATTCATAATTGGGCTGAAGGGTATAAAGCTAGAAGGTCTAACCCACCACCGGGTGTTGAGATTTGGGAAATTGATGATGAAGAAATGGAAAACATCAGAGTTTTATTCAGCAAATTCGACTTTGGAAGGCTCCCCGTGATGCCTGTAGATGGCAACATAGTATGAATGGAAAAGATAACAATTCTAGTAAAAATCAAATTTATTGGAGAACCAAACAGGTCAAAGAACATGGTTCGTCTCATTTTGTACGACTGCAGTTTGTCTTAGGCCTCTACCTACAGAGCTATGATATCTAATTGTTGTCGCCAGTAATATCGCAATGGGTTGGGTATTGCTGTATTTTTTTATATTTACGGCTTGTTTCTAGTGGTCATAATTCTCTAATGTATAAAGCTAATTACTATTATGACCTTATCCCAATCTAGCTGAGAATCCGTCTCACATATAAGTTAAATGTTTTGCGACGGGCGAGTAATTAAGACTGCTTACATAAAATTCCGCCACAAAAGACGTGTAGACACAAGTATCCAAAGTGCATTTGATGTCATAAATCTTCAAACTTGGTTTCTATGATTAGATTTTACTTCGAGCCACTGCATAGTTTGTGACTCTTGTTATGTACCCGCCGGCCCAACTCTTATCCAATAGTCCTTCGTATGGAGGACGAAGCCTGGGCACCTGTAAATTGTGTCATCTACGAACGCATGAGTGAAATGCTGTCGAAGGCTAACAGTAACCGCCGAACAAGTTGGGCAGGAAAATGTCTCTGGTAAAAAATAGACACTATCTACACGTACTTGGGCTGTCTGCTTTGATTTGTGCTTATATTTTTATTAATTCATTTTATTGTCCTTTCTGAGTCTATGACTTTGTAGGTGTTAGGCAAAGTTATACTAATGTGAATCTCTCTCAGAGTTGATTGAATTGATTGTCCTCGACCATGAGGAATCTATCTAGGTGCTATATACATCTTGAGTATCCTACCAATTCCAAATATAGACTGACTATTAGATTGACCATGCGAACTGCTCAAATCTCCGTTCCATACATGATTCTAAAATTGGCTGTGACATTATCATGGGTAATAGAAGGAATGAAATAATAAGGGAGTTGTGCGAGGGAAATTGGCCATCCGTCTAGTCGCTAGTTGTAACATTTGCATGACTAAGTTATTGCTCTTGATGCATCAGCCCCGTATACTTGCTTGTAAACTACTCAACTTAAACATCGAGATACGATATTTAAATTTAGGGTAATCTGTTGGACAGTAGAACACGCAGGTCCTCTCTGCCTACAGGCCAAGAATACCTATGCCAGTAGTATATCCCCTCCTATGCCTCCTATACAGCTCCCCTCAAACTGTACCGCCTGTGACGAGCTTTGCCCGGATTGGGACTGGTCACTAGGACCACTCCGTCTTCGAGTTTAGACTGTGGTAGAGCAACGCTCCCGGAAATTTGAATGGGGCGCTAAGGAGGTATCAAGGGGGGTATATATATAGTTCTTTTTACCTGATTTGGCGCCTTGAGGCCTATTCAGGTTTTTATCGGAAGATATGTACTTTAAGTAGGACGACTCAATTTGACATTTAGAACACTCACACTCAGATTTCATTTGCAGATACCACTCGAGGTTAACCCTTACGGCGTATAACCTCTTCCGTGCATTCCCACCACTGGGAAAAGCGTGAAAAACCTGTGGCTATCCGAGTGTGCTTTCATCATCCCACAAGTACAATATCACCGCGAGAGAGAGTGATGTGTGGGTTTTACTGGACTTGAACCAGCTTTCTCCTGTCTCGAATGGGGTAGGTGTTCAAGCTACCCAGTATCTACTTGGGAGGACGGCCCGGATGGTGTACCACTGCACTATCCAATTCTATCAAGGGGGGTACGTACCAAATGGGAAGTATAGTACAGGAGAATAGATGAGCCGGGGAAAAAGGATGATTCTCAGATAGCCAAGGGGGAGAGTTAATACTAGTCTATGTAGAGGACATGAAGGACAGGATACGATGCTGTCGATTAGTTTCCCAAGGAAATCTTATTCATTCCCATTGAGTTATCGACTTCAAGTACTTCTGACTTCTTTAAACCTTATATACCGCCCCTCACAAGTCCTCATTCAATCATATACTTAGAGGAGCCCTTAGCCCTTCATTATCTCCCCTCTCCAGCCAACGAAACGATGGCCATTTGCGGGTGTATGGTAGCCGGCAAAAATTGCAAAAATCACTGGATGCGGAGCTCTCCTAGTACCGACACTAGGACTTAATCCAAAGACATAGTGATCCTTCTGAGGCGTTCGAAGAAGCCGGCCAGCTGGGCGCTGCAGACTTGTGGGTACCTCGGGAAATTCACCCTCTGCCTTTCTAGCCTCCTTCCAACTCCTTCCCGAAGATCGTGCTGAAATGTCAGAAAAGTCTTGACAGAGCGTGATTGCTGTATGGTAGCTTAGCCCAACTTCTTTTATGCCGTCCAGGGCGCTGGGGAGTGCGGTTGACTCATCGACAAAAGAGGCCCTCCTGGCTAATTAGCTGAAATCTCGGTCTTGGCGCCTACAAAAAATCCAAAGTTGAAAACTCCTCGAAAATATCAGTCCCACCATGGTCTTCAGAGACCTCTTCGCCCTCTCGCTCCACATCTTAGCCGCCTGTCCTCCCTCAAGTTGTTTGTCCCATTAGAACAATAGTCTCACATAAACCAGGACCCAACTTTGTATTTTTGACTTGATTTCTTCCTTGCGGGTATGAATAGCGTCGTAAATTTGTAGTGAGTGATGGCCGGTGATGAATGAGGCAAGCTCCTGTTTGCAATTGGGGTGACGTCTTTATCGGTCGGCGAGGCGAGATGATATATGGTTAGAAGGATGTTATTCTATTCCTAGCACATTTCTATATTTAGAGTTCTGGAGATCAAGCCAACCATGGTCAGTGTATGGAGTCCTAGAATTCCGAGAGAAATCAGAATGAAGTTGTTTCGACTGAGTTATTTGTTCATTTAATTACATACACTTCGCTTGTCACAGGTCAGGCTCCCAGTTACCTGACAAGTATTTACCCGGAGCCGAGATGTAGTCAAGACAAAGGATAAGATTGAGAGGAGTGGCGTCGGCTAGTTTTTGGTTGTAATTATGACCTTCAATGATTTTATGTCTACTCAAATCAACTTTTATCATACTTTTCTAATCCAAAATTCCGGTAGGCCCAGCATCTCTAACGTTCATGTCACAAACGACTCCCTATACCGACTTTGTTGTTTCTGTTAGAAATTGTCAAGGATTTCTAGGAGGAAATATCTCGATGAACAAGTGTACAATTTCGTACAAGAATTTATTGATAGTTGTATGTGATATCGAACTCTCTTCTTAATATGAATTAATAATATATAATACTCCGTTAACTTGATTTGTGTTCATTATCCTGATTTGGCGCCCTATGGGCCCATGCAGGTGGCTATAAACCTATCTATATATTTACATAGGAGGAAACCTCTCGGTGAAAACCCCCCAAGCTTTCTGATTTAATTCTTATAGTTTGCAGTTTATCCTTCAGGAAGTACAGTTACACTGTAACGCCGTCGATGTGTACCAATCACGTCCCTTCTATTGATCCCAACCTTCCACATGTTCTCTCTCGTTCCCTGAGCAGCATTTCGACTGCATTTGTCAAGCAGAATTGTTCTATCCAACCATGATTAAGAATCCATCGTGTGATTCTTTTCATATCACCAGGATTGTTGGTCATTGCTTCAAAGGAGCGATTTCGGGCTTGTCTCCAGATTTCTCCTCTACCAATTGACCACTTAGGGCAGGACATGATCATGTGCTTGGGATTTTGTGATTGGTAGCCACACGGACAGCACGGATTGTAGTCTCCTGGTATTTTTCTTCTATGCAAATACGAATTGAGCCCGATATGCTCGCTTCGAATTTGGATTGCTAAGCTACTTTGGGCCCTCGTCAGGTTTTTGTGGAGAGAAAATGGCGACTCCCTGTTGGAAATTCTGACTCTCGAATTTAGGACTCAATCATTACCTGTTTCGTCTCAGGTTCCCGACAAGATCGACTCTCTCTACACATGTCCCGAGTGCGCTAATCGCGCCTACTGTCGCCTATACGTTTGGATATTTACGTACTACAGTGTACCTTGGCTCATCATGGTAGATGAGAGGTGGCTAGTCATCACTAGGTTTGACAGGCACACGAGGCTAGCGGGAATTTCTCCCTTAGATGTATATATAAGTCCAATGTTCCCATAGTTGTAAAATATCAAGTCTTCTTTACTTCATCATATTTATCCATATAATATCGTACAGAGTACATTTTCCAACACTCCCGGAAGCTTATTTTTGTACGTCCAGAATTGCGGTATTGGTAAAACTTTGCTGCTGCCCAAGTTTTAGGATCTACTGAAGCAAATCTTTTAGGCTGTCGAGTTCGCTTTGTGGCTGACCAAAATTTCGCCCATTCTGGGTACGCTGCAACTCTTATCGCTTCTTTTTGTAAGTCCTTGGATTTCTCCTCTCCGCAAATCTCTTTCCAGTATGCAAGGTCTGCTCTTCTATTATGTGCTTTAATATCTTCTCTTCCTCTTCTAGGAAGTTTTATTTTAGCACATGCTGATTGAATAGTCTTTTGAACTGGTAGAGAATTTGAGCGGCCTACATACTGAGCCCTTTGTTGCTTCAAGTAGATTTCCATCGGAAGAGTAGCAGTTTCATGTTCCAGCACCCTGGTGCTTGTCGATTTGTATGCTTGTCAGGATTACCTTCTGTATAATCTATATGTGTGGAGATAACCAAGATATAGTGTTCTATGATTCTGGTCTGGCCTTTTGGCCGAGCGGTTATGCACCTATCTCATGCATAATGTAGGATGGCGTCCTTTAGCCTAAATACCATCTCTTCGACCCATGTCTCCGCCCTGCTGTCTACATGCTGCTCTGGCAATGCTCCAGTTACTACTTCCAGACAATTTCTTTGAGTGCTTCGAAGAGGTTTGACTATCCTCTCGGGTATTCTACCTCCTGGCCCGGCCTCAGCCTAGATTGGCGACCCATACGTAAGGGCTGGTCTCACTATTGCGCTATAAAGCAGCTTTGAATTGTGAAATGTGGCTCCCCACGTGGACTGCATCAGCCTACTTGTGGCCTGGACCTGTGTCTC